TTTTTGTTTTATTTTTCTAGATCAAGATCAAGGTCTCGTTCTAGAGATAGGTCTAGGAGGAGCAGATCCCGTGACAGAAGAAGGAGCAGGTCAAGGTAAAATTAAACAATTTTTTTTTTCAAATTGATACCTTAAAAGTTGCTGTCGTATGATTTATGGTTTTTCTGTATTACTGCTTAATTTTTTTTTTAAAGGTCACGCAGTAAGTCTAATGAAAAGAGGAGCCGTTCAAGATCTGCATCCAAGGAAAAAGACCATAAAAATCGCTCCCGCTCAAAAGACCGGTCCCCAAAAGCCAAGTCCAAAGACAGCTCCAAGGGCTCCAAGGAACGTAGCTCTAAGGAAAGGTCTCGAGAAAAGGAGAGATCCAAAGAGAGGGATGGTTCAAAAGAAAAAAGCAAGTCAAGGGACAAGGATAATGTGAAGGATTCCAGGGACAGGAAGTCAAGGTTGGTAGAGAAATTAGTTTTAAGCTGATTTGTGTTTTTCTTTTAAAACATTGGGTGTCATTAAAGCAAAAATTTGATTTATAGCTTTGGCAGAATTATTATAACAGATTGCATCAGGAGCACATAAAATACCAATGGAAATTATAAACAATTAAGTTTTAAAAAATGTGGGTAGCATTGTGGTAAAATTGATTACCTTAAGTAAGATCTTACTGGTGTATCAAATTTAGACATCAGTGAAATCAAATTTAGACATCAGTGAAGACAGACAGAGTTGCTCTTTAATTATTTGTTTTTGTTTACAATAAGTCATTTTATGATTGTCTTCATAACATTTGCTTGTCTTCAGGAGTCACTCCCATGGCAGTGAGAAGTCAGACAAGGCGAGTAGAAGGTACCTGTCCCAGCATGTGCACTGCATGCAGCTTTCTATCTTATTTTATAACTTCACATGCAGCTCACTGTACATAGATTTGTATATCTACTCATATTATCAGTGCCTTTCCCATGGTATAATTCTTACATGCCATTCTTGGTATAATCAGTTTTTAATTTAATTCAAGTTGTTTTAATGTTTCCTCCTTCAGCACCCAGTAAAGTAAGTTTGAAAAGAACCACTTATATTGCTGTTGTTACTGGTAGTTGATTCTTTATGTCATGTGTTAACGTTTATATGTGCTGAACAATTGAATGTCTCATTCATTTTTGTGCATGGCTTTAGAAGCACAAAGTATATGATAGTGTTCTAAGTCCACTTTTTATCATCTAAATTCTTAAGACATTCATCTAGGTAGTTAGGGTAAATTTAAATTGATAAAAAATTTTAGGAAAATTAGCAATATGATTGAATGCACTTGTGGTTGAAGTGAACACAATGTAATTAGAACAGCTAGCACAGTGGATGTTGCTTCAGTCTTTGTTGATGCCATGTAGTGGTTATACCAAGCACATTGATATAACTGCATCCTTTGGGAAAGTTTGCTGCTGTTGGGAGGGTAGTCACAGCTAGCACAGCCATTATTGCTATAGCCTTAGAAAAGACAAGAAAAATAGTGTTTTTGGGTTCGAAAGTAAAGGAAAGATGCCCATAATGGTATGATTTGGTAGCCATTACTTCACAATGAAGTTTTAGTTGTATTATCTTTCCCTGTTACAGTTTTTCAGTAATATATTTTTATCTGATTTTATTTTCTTTTTTAAATCTATTTTGTTGTCAGTTTAAGAGGCTTCTTTACTTAAGTATATTCTTCTTTAACTGTTTTTATAATGTTTTGAATATTGAGGCAATTTACATAACGGCAGAGGTGTATTTATCTGGGCATTTCCTCCATACTGCAAGCCATAATTTTTTTTCTTATTTAACCTAAGAAGTTCATCCAACAAAAAAAAATTTGTAATCTTTTTTTCAATGTCAGACAGTTGATTTTTTTTCTCTTAACCATTTTATACTCTCCAGTTTATTTTACATGAATAATGCGTGAAAGTGCACAAAAAAATAATGAAGTCAAAAGTTGATTGAGAGAAGTCCTGTTGCAACCAATCCCAGTACATAAGACTTGACACATGGAAGTCATTAATGCTTGAAACAAGTAGCAAGCATGAATTTATGTAATGCACCATGGTAATTCTCTTTGACAGTTATTACAGTTTAATGAGAGATGTGACAAGGGGGTCGAGCAGAGACTGGTTGTTAAAGAATAGATGCATGTGATTTTTTAAAAAGATGGTAGAGTTTGGCTTATTCATTGTGATCATGAGAATGATAAAAAAATGTTGACCTTTTAGAATGGTTGGTGAAATCTTGAAAATGATAGTGGAACTTTAATGCAGAAATGTTCAATCATTTATTCCTTTGTTTGTTTGTTAAATCATTTATTGGTCACTTCTTAAGCTATTTAATTCCTTTATGAGTACTGTCACCAAATCCTGCATTGATTGCAAATCCAAATCCTGCATTAATGTTACTGTGTGGTTTTCCAAAACAGATATGGCAATAATTTTGCCTGTCTTGACATTTGATTGTCCATTGTACTGCATTTTCACAGCAGGATAACTATGTGATACTCATCACCAAAATTTAAGACCTCTGTTTCATATGGAATGGTGGAAATCTCTGTCCTCAGCCAATAACATCTTTTTATTTCCCTATATAAGGAGAAGCATCCAAAATAAGATACTATTTGGTAGTTTTCTCTGTCTGACTGACTGAAGACCTTTTTGAGTCAAAGAATAATATACATGTCATGTTTAGACTCCTGTGATATTTGGCTATGGAGCAATCAATCCATGTTATTACAGCAGTGATCATATTGTGAATGACATTGTTTTCTTAACAATGTTGGTTGGGATTGAAAGACATTACAGCTACTGCTAATATTTTTCTTTCTCCCTCTACTCCATCAGCCCTTATCATCAATTTTGGTACAGTCAAACAAACGAGTAAAATTGTTAATTTACAGGTTGATAAAAATGTTTAACATTGTAATAGAACTAGTAAGGATAGTCAGTATTACTACTCATAATGATCCCAAAATTTGAACTAATTATAGACAGCTTAAAGCATGGATCTAGTTCAAAGGTGATTCACTTTTCTGTTAAATAATGTTTGTAATATTACTCATCTGCAAATTGCACAAAATCTATTAATCTTGTGAGGTGTAAGGATCAGATTTGTTTTATTAATCATTTTGGCCACTTTATTTTTCTTCAAGTCAAACCTTAATAAATCATCTATGCTGACATACTGTTAAATTAAGGACACTTACTTGCAATAAGTAAAAACATATCACTTTGAATAAGCAACATTAATCCATTCCATACCTAGAACATTATTGCATTAACTGTCTCAGCATAATCATATTTGTAAATAAAACACATTATGATGCAGGACTTGTACTGACAACACCAACAAGGCCTCACTGACTCATTCTCCCAGATCAGTCAGATTATATAGTAATTGACTAGAGCTCCTGTTGTTTACTTCATCTTGTTTATCTGTGGGATGATACCAAGCTTGCTTCCTCTTTGCGCTAATCCCTTCGATATCCTCTGGTGCACTAAAGTGTACTAAGAATGTCATGTTTTCTTGTGATCTGCATCTTTTTTGTATATATATATATATATGTGATTGATCATCTAAAATTGGAGGAAGTGTGTATTTGTATTATATATTTACTGATGATAGGTTCACCAGGTTTTTTTTTCACATTTTTGTGAAGATCTAAAGGTATAAGATTTTGAGTAAATGTGTTACCATTTTCAGTTCATTCAGTGTAAGTTTTGTGTAGTGGTAGAAATGATTGAAACAGAATCAACATTTCAAAGCTTCAGTTTTTGTTTTTATCACATCTCATGCTTGGCTTGTATTTCTTGAATGTAGCTTGATAACTGAGCTTCCGGCACAAGGCTTCCAAACATAATTTGATAATAAGAAAGAAAAAGTAGACTCTACTTATGAATCCGTGCTTATTTCTAAGATTTAGATGGTTTCATTTCTAAAAGAGTCTTTCTTTGTAACATAAACAGGATTTCACTATTATCAAGAACAGCAGCAATTCATGCTAAAGACTGTGCTTTGAACATTTTGAAAACTGTCTACACTTTTCTGAATTAAGCGTTTTTATTTAAGTGGTAGAAATGATTGAAACAGAATCAACATTTCAAAGCTTCAGTTTTTGTTTTTATCACATCTCATGCTTGGCTTGTATTTCTTGAATGTAGCTTGATAACTGAGCTTCCGGCACAAGGCTTCCAAACATAATTTGATAATAAGAAAGAAAAAGTAGACTCTACTTATGAATCCGTGCTTATTTCTAAGATTTAGATGGTTTCATTTCTAAAAGAGTCTTTCTTTGTAACATAAACAGGATTTCACTATTATTTACACACATTGAAAACAATGATTTCCAAGAACAGCAGCAATTCATGCTAAAGACTGTGCTTTGAACATTTTGAAAACTGTCTACACTTTTCTGAATTAAGCGTTTTTATTTAAGTGATTGAAAATATTTAATACAAACATTGGGGTTTTGTACTTTCAGTAGGTCTAGGAGCCCAGTGAAGAAGAGAGGAAGGTCGAAATCTGGTTCCCCTAGCCATGACAAATATCCTAAAACCAGCAACATCAATTCAACATCCCCCACACAGAACCAGGAAGATAATGCTGTTGAGTTACCTGAGACTCCCCCTCCAGAGGAGACCCAGGAAACTCAGGAAAATGGGGAGGAAAACGGAGCAAAAGAGGAGGCGATGGAAGCTGATGAACAAGACTGATGATAGTTGTGTTTTATTATTTTTCCTTATTGTATAGCAGGTTCTGTACCATTAATTCCTATAAATGCACTTGAAAATTCTGTCAATGTGTATTTCATTTTCTCCTTTGTGGAGTTTTATTTTAGACTTTCTTGTTTGGCTTCAGTTTTTTTTTAAATAGAAAAATGCTATTTCAAATGAATATTGCATGTTGATTTATTGTTTTCATTTATTTGATTAGCCATTGAATGTTTATTTAAGTCATTACAGGCATTGATAGACCCTGTCTTGAAGGCTTAAGGAATTTTATTGTATTTAAGTAGTATCTGTGCTCAAAATATATTTATGTAGAATAATAGAATTATAAATGAATATTGTAATAAAAAGTAAGTGATATGATTAACTCATACTGTAAGTGTGCACATTGTAAATGGTGGATACATTTTATAAAATTGGACATAAACTGCCTATTGTTATTTACTACAGTCTAAGTACGTCCTGCACCTTGTACTGTGCACCTATGTAAAGGTTGCTGTGGGTTCCACCGGTCAAACTGATATCTGTTACAAATTTCCCTTGAGCCCTATCAACAGGGAAGTGGAATTAACACCAAGGTATATTATGCAATGGACTTTTTTTATCGTCAGTTTTCATGTAAATTTTTCCTGGTGTCTTACACTTAAGTAAAAACCAGACCCTCTTAAGATAAGCAAACATAAGTTATGACTTAAGAGGAGTTGTTCCCGTGTGGAGATCTGTTTACTCGTGTAAGTTTTAATTTTTTCCGTCTTTAACTCGCAATTGAAGCTCAGGAGAACGTCTGGGTAACATTATTTATCCCAACTATTTGTAAATGTCTTTTCTTTAAATGAAGAAAATATCTTTAAAGCATTTTCCAAAGAATAAGATGATAATGATGTGTATGTTTCTCATTGTGAAACACAAAGAAATTATTCTTATAACAAACTTTTTTTGAAATTGCCTTTCATTAGCAATCTTAATTTTTTAATCGATGGTAGTGGGGTCCGTTAAGTAGTGTAAGAATTGTTTATTATCCAAGATCAGATTGCTTTTTTGATGACTGTAAAATAGGGGAAATAAATTTTATCTGGTATCAGAGTGATTTGTCTGACTTAATTTGCACTTCAGTAATATGATGTTGTTTTTGTGAGAGCAACTTGACCTGAAAAATAGTGACCACTTGCGCGTACCAATGAGTCAGAGAGGATAGATATTTACTGTAGATTTAAATGTTAACGTGCCTGTTACTTTTTTTCTGAGATGCTTCTGGAAAGGTGGGAGGTTGTTCGGACAGAAAACGAATGTTATATAAAACCCTCTGCTGATTTTGTTTTTCGGAGCAAATGTCCGTATGTCGTAAAGACAGTATAAATTATTTAACTTAAGGTTATTACTTTTTATCAATGAAATACGTAAGTAAGAATGCCAAAATGTGTTTTTCCTAATATCGTTATCATTATAAACGCGTTAATGCTCACAAATACTTGATAGGCACGCAATATTCTCAATAGGAATTGTAAAAAAGATTTCGTCTTTTGTCTTCTCTGCTCCCTTGATTTGATGTAAATGACTACCTTATTTACGACGTATTCGGGGTGTCAGCTGTACCGATCTCGGTGTTTTGCACTTTATCCTGACAGGTAACATCAACAAAGGTGCGCCTCCCTAGATGCACTAAAACTTCAGTTAAACGTGCGATTCTTTTACCCCAGATTATATTCGTTTCTAAAATACACAGATTGTTTCTAGTCTTACCACAGTACGTGCGCGGCCGCGTGTAGTAACACCTCGTAAGGAAAAAAGAACTTTTTTTGCAAGTCTGTCGTAGATAACATTGACCTTTTCAACTATAAGTGATTTAATGCAGATCGCCCAGCTACCAATTTATGCTTCTAGAATACAGAGCATAAAATTGATATAAATGGTAAATTTAGCTTCTTATAAATATTATTATCACGATTGTCGCATAAGCTTATTAATAATGCCTTGCGACATCTGTTTGTTCCAATAATAAATGCCAAGATTTTTTACGGTAGGCGTATACTCGAACTTTTTACGTCCCATTATAAACACCCAATTTTATAGTAGGTGTATATTTCAAGCATACATAACAAAAAAAGTTTAATTAAGTTGGCTGTTCTTCGACGGTTGTGAATCAGCCTTAAAATATTGACCACGTTGTCTCGTGAAATTAGTTCCTTGTGGTAGCCGAGGGCGGGCACTCATCGCCCTAAACTTGATTGTTGTGAATTTAAAGAGTTTGGAAGGTATAATGGTATAATTATTTTGCCCTTTGGCTAAATGTTATTTCACAAATGAATTACCGGTTCATTTTAAACGCTTGTTTTAAAAACTTAAATTTCATTACAAAAAAGTGCGAAAGAAAAACTGGCCTTCACGCCAAAAAAAGGTTTCGCAGCCTTTCAAAATTTTTTTCATTCTATCTAGCAATTGAAGACTTTTTTCGAAGTTCATCGGATTTCGTAAAAGGTATCTTTTTGCAGCAATTGCGAACGGTTTGGTTTTATTTTGCTACATTTAAAAACAAGTTCAAGACCTTTGAAATGGATGTAGCGCAACTTGGCAATAGAATTTTTTTTGATATGCCGTCTTACAGTAAAGGGTCGAAGAAGTGCGAATCTATGAATATCAACAACATTGAACGCCGGCAGAAGTAATGGTTTAACACAGATCGTATTTTACTGGCATCCGTATTTCAAGAAAATTCCTGTCCAAGATTAAGTTGGGATGTGAAGTTATGCACTGTTTGCTCTTGCTGTCAACTTGCAGACCACAAAAAGAAACAAGAATATGCAACAGGAAAAAGAGAACGTTATTTGATTTCCTTGCTTGATTTCAGTCAAGTCATCCATAGCTGGGTTGATGATATATTTTGTCAATGAATTCGTACCTGCTTTAACTTGCTGTAACCGGAGTTACCGCAAGTCCATTAGGTTCTTTATTGCTTTTTGTCACGATGCGATAGCACTAGCAAACTAGAAGGGACTACACAACAAGTTACCAAGGCTTTCGCTAATAAAAATAAGAGTGACATTTTCACAACTGGTGAATCTATTAGGGTAGAACAAGGGCAGGGCACAAGGAAAGGGCACGTAAATATAATCCGATTATAATTTTTCATCTACGCTGTCATAAAGCAATGTAGTTATGGTTGCCATGACTTTGGGCTGATCTTAGAGCCATGTTTTTCGGATTAGTCCGAGAACATCATCCTATGAATTAATCGTGTGATCAATGTCGTCTGTTGCTACATATATCTTTAGAAGAAAATCAGTTTCTGGTTGGATAATGTCTAACCACTCAATTATTTTGAATGAGTTTACAGTAAAGAATTCATTGAGACACCTTTGGTTTAACCATGTGTGACAAAAACATTTTTGCAAAGTGAGATAAAAAAGATGAAAAAGAAATAAATCAGAGGATCGCGGTTTAGTTTCCAAGATCACCGCTATCTTTTAAGACGGAAAAAGTTAAATCATGGCAAGTGATATAATCATGAAAGATTGATTTGCGATATAAAAATAATACTGAAATAAACCAGACAGTCGTGTAGTAGTGGTCTACATCGTCGTACAGGTGGCAAACCAAAATAATGTTTTTCCCGAGAGATAACTTCTATTGCGGAAACGCGTCAGGTGTTTGCGTGGTTTTTCTACATCTATGAACAGGGCTACCAAACACCCCCCTCTCCCCGCACCCCTGTTTCACCATAACAGTTGTCTGTCTGCTGCCTCTTTGCCTTTCCTCTGCCTGACTGCTTTCATGTCTTCCTCTCCCTGTATCCCTTGTTGTAGGCCATATGATATATATACGTGTGGTCGTTTTGCAACGGTCAACTAAAAGCGGTCGCGTGTGTAAAACGCATGTATCGCGTGATTTGACAAGTGTCGGCTCGGGGTCTGTTGTGCAATTGGTAATTACCGAGTAAATATGTAGAGTTAAAGTTTTTTTGTTAACTGGCACCTCATAGACAGACATAAACAGTTAATAGCACACTTGTCTATTGTGTGCTGTCAAAATTGTCACGCCATGTACATTTGTATTGAAAAGAAGGGGTGATGTAGTGTGAGAGACGGTCGATTCTCGCTGATGACTTGGCCGATTTTCTTGTTTTTTCTGTTTGCATCTGCTTTATCTCATCAATATGTCTTCTCTGTATATTAGGTATATATCGCTTTGTGGGTTTGCGTCGATTTTCACATCTGTGTTTTACTTATGATAGTGTAACTCATCAATTCTATCAGTGATAATGCCACTCTACCTCTCTCTCTCTCTCTCTCTCTCTCTCTCACACACACACACACACACACACAACACACACACACACAGACATACACACACACACACCAGTCATTTCATCTGCTGTTTCATTATTTCTCACGATTCAGGGCACAGTGAACATAATTTCTCTGTGAAATAGAATATTTGGTTTGCATTGACAGTTGTAAGGAGAACCCAGTTTTTATGCAATTATTCACGTCGCTTTACAAAATCGAATTAGTAACGTTAACTTTTCAAGTTCTTCGTTTGTATCGATTTACTGAGCTCTTCTGCTTTCATGGTTAAGAGAGTAAATTGTATCCTTAAACGGCGTCCTTAAAGCTCCGGCGTCCACGTTTGCTGTACAAATGAAATTGTCAGTTTCAATCCTAAGACCACAATTAACCATTTTCTGTACGCATTTCAGGGCGTTTTTTGGGTGTACCCTTCCCTTCCCTTCTCTCTCACTCTCTCTCTCTCATGCGACGCACGTGCGCATGCTACATGTACATTAGACATGTACACACGCACGTGCATGCGACCACACACACAACTTTGTTGCTTTTTATTTGTTAGAAAAAGCACCACGTCGTTACTGCATAAAACGCGAAAAGCATCTAAGTGTGTATCAGCATTTTGTAACATGTAAATATTTATGTCAATAAGGGCAAAATAATTCCCAGTCCTGGAATAACCACAGAAATTTTATTGCACTTTCTAAGATATTCTGATAAACTAGTAACTACTCAAAAGTTGCAATGCACCGGGAAGCTTTCGTCTACCAATGCACATTCCCACACCGAATAATATCGTTTTAACCCCAGGGTTTTACTTGTAATGGCTAATGTTTGTGGCGCACGGCCGAAAGAAACAGTCTGATGACTATAATTTAACCATCACTCACCCCAGTGAGCATGTTTAGCATTGAATTATACAAAAAATAATGGTAGCTTCAATTTACACTTTAATTGCAACAGGCACGGTTTTGAATTGAATTTCGTGTTTGTAGTTTCTATACTATGGTAAGGGGATGGTTCGGTTTTGTCTGAGTTTTGCTAATATCCAGCAGGCTCGTCTGTCGTTAATAAGGGTCCTGCAATAGTATTTTAGTTTGCTGAAATTGCAACATACGAATGTCGACTGAGAAATATGTCAACTATTAAGATAAAACGGTTGCCGGTCGTTTCAGCTCAGCATCTGTATGTCAGAGGAAAAATAAAACCGTCTACAGATCAGCGATATCAATCCATTTACATCAGATTTTATAACTCGACATTTCCTCGGGTCTTAAAAGATACGAGGCTATCATATTTACTCACCGTATGACATGCAGTTTTTTTGATAACGCCTATGATATTTTGCAACATAATTTTCTTGCAGCCGTTGAATTATAATCCATTGACGTTATTCCGGGCACGACCTGATAAAACTGAGAAGCATTTATCAGAAAATTTCTCAAAGAAACGTAGTCTGGGATCTCGGCATGGTTTTTTAACTTGATCTGGATTTATCGTTTAAATTCTCAAAATAATTTCTACTCGATTTCTCGGGTTCATTTTTGCAAGAGCGGTTACGTAGTTGTGGTTTATTCTCAGGGTGGCGGCTCATCTTCCATAAATTTCGCACCATGTTACAAAAAGATGATTCATTTTGACGTAACCTTTTCGCTTTTACTAGTCCATAGATGTGTGCGTCTGGGAAAATTGTAACTTGTCCGCCTTTTGCGCGTTACCAACCGCTGACCAAAACAACAAGAAAGCAACCGCAATTGGGAACAATGGATAAGTTATCCACAGAAGGTTAAATCGATAATGGAAAAAAAATTGAAAACACTGGTTGAAGGGAGAAGCACTTGAAAACAACACCTCAGACCCAGCATCTTTCGAATGTAATGTCTTAAATAGTTGAGATAAACTCAGTTAACAAAGGTGGTTTATAAAACGCTATCATTATTATGTAACTCCCCCTTNTGCTATCATTATTATGTAAGTCCCCCTTCCCAACATTTTACAGTTCAGCTTTTCATTCGGTTTTGATGTACTTCCTCCATTCTTAACACTGTTTGCGTTTCAAATTGGATAACAAATTAAGAGCCAAATAAGGCTTCTTTGCAACAGGTTTCAATTGGAAATTTTGTTCAATGTTGTAGAAATTATTGGCAAGGAGTGGGAACTAAAATGCCTTAGCATAATCTGACCTTCCAAATCAATTAATAAGTTCAGTTATATGTTAGGCAGATATAAAAACGCAATTAGCTTATTCACAAAGAGCACATTTCTAAGAGAAATTGACTAAGAAGCCTTATTGGAGGGGTGCATTAACCAAAAACCAAATCTTCTCAGAGAACGGAAATCGTCGAACACAGTTCGATAAGAGGGTGATGCTGTTGCTTTTTGCTGACGGGAGTGGGGGGGGGGTGCGAAAAAAGACTCACAGAAAGAGAAAAAGGGGGAGTCATTGGACAGGAAAAGGTGAGGTTGTACTGAATCGAACGAAAAACTGCAAAGTACATAGTTCTCTTCGGAATTAATTGAAGTCCGGGAGAACTAGCTGTTGGATGTAGAACTTCACTAAATAGGAGTTACCTTGTAACTTTGCATCGCGACTCCTATAAACAAGTTGAATACTATAAATGACGTCAAAATTAAGTCATATTCGCCACTGTTCTGCGGCTAAGGGAGAACTAGTTTTAAAGAAATTCTATCATATTAGAATAAATGCGTGGAAAATCGTGTTCCTTACAACCAGTGTTTTAATGGAGTTTGACTCTCTTTCCTACTACACAAGCGTTCTGTATTGTGCGCCGTATTAACTTTCTGAGAGAAAAAACAATGACTGTTTCTACTTTTACTACTCTATATATACACCTTTATTTAGATTTGGAATATTTTCCTAAAAAATTAAAGTTAACTCATTGCCCTTGCCTATTGCTACAACAAATGAATTGGTAACGTGAGATAGTCTGCTTCTGTACACTAAAGAGTATGGCACTCATTTCACTTTTCTTTGAAATACCACCGGTGCTCAGTTTTCTTTCCCTGGACAGAACGGTGTGACTTCTCGGATAGGTGCACATATGAAGAACATTGTATAAGCGAAAACAAAACAATTGAAAGAGAGCCCCCTGCCTACGTTCGAACTATTGTAGCATTAACGAAAACCTTCTCCCAAGATCCAGGGCCGCGCAGAAATTGCGTTTGATTTTACCACAGCTACGTGTAGAATTGCTTTTGATTTTTCAAGGCTCGTGTGGCCGGTGGTTTATTGGACACAGACCTGCAGTCTGAAACGCACGTGGCAAGTGAAACGCTACAACAATTACTCATAGCAACAAGTCACAACACCCCAGTACAAATCTATTTATTTGCGACAGATGTGCGCTGCGCACCGGCCGACGATTAAAGGCTTTTGTATCGATACTCAAAAGGGATGTCTTTTTTTTTCTTTATTATAATTCAGAGTAAGGATCCACCCTATTTATTTAACGGATGATCTCACTATCTGCATTTTCTCATGGCTATGAAGCAATGACTTGCTTGTTATTTGATTTCCGCAAACGTGTAGGTCCTGACTTGATTTTTAATGATGTTCTTGAAGATTAAATTAGCTGTGATGTCATTGATATGATTTTTTTCATTGGCATTTTCAATCAGCATTTTTATATATAGTGACTTATTCTATTATTTTTACCCTAAATTATTCATGCAATTTCTTTTATTTTTAATATATAATTATTATTATTAATGTTGGTATTGTTATCATCATTTTCTGAGTTTCTTGTCTATCCTGCCCCTAGTCCCAAAATCGATTAATTAACGGGGTAAAAGTGTTGTGGTTTCTTTTCGTATATTCTACTGATGACGATTCACGTCTGAAGCAAGGCGTTTTCCAGAGTGCCACTGCCAAAATCAGGATATCCCGCTAAAAACAGCAACAGACTACAAATGAAAATTTCCGAATTTTAAACTAGTTGTTTTCATTTTCGCCTTCTTGCATCTTTGTTTAATAATAGCCCACTTCTTTCAAGCACTATGGTTTTATAATGTTACAATACTTCCTTGTAGGAAGAAAATGATTGATGCTGAGGATATACAAAATTAGAAGGGTTGAACGCTGACCGTCACCAGTTGAAAAAACAGTGACTAATTTCTTAAAACAAGTTACCGCTTAAAAAAGGTCCAAAATAACAGGTGAATATTAGTCTAGTAATGGTTATTTTAGGAATATAAATTTACAAAAAGATTCGTTACTTATGAAATCTAAGAATAAGTTATTATACCATAAATTTATTGAAAATTAAAATTAAAATAATACACAGGCTTTATCCGTATTCTATTCATGCTTAAATATGTATTTCTTATTCTAAAATTGCCGTTGAATAGACAACCAGGAGGCGTGAAAGCGTAGGTCTTTTATTAATGCATCAGTTTATTAAGACCGGCATTTCCGAATATGCGCAGATTGTGATGCGCATGACGTCACGGAGTACCATCCCATTGCTTGAGGATTTCCCACCGTCTCAACTCCAGACATAGAAAACCATGTGAGCCGGGTCGATGCTGGCAGTCGAGTAAGTGAACAGAGCTGGAAGCGTACAGAGATGGCGTGGACGCCGCTATTACAATACATTGCACTTGGACTAATATTCTGCACACAGATATTATTGAGCAAGGCTTGTAGGACAGATTATACTGATGTAGCTTCACGAGCGTTTTTCGCGAAATATGTATTCGTGGGGAGGGTAGAGACACTTTCTCCAGTTGGAGAGGACTCCTTGTACAATGCAACATTCTCAGTGACAGAACAGCTCAAGGGGAGGATACATAACCAAAAGAGAATACAGTCAGTGACAGTGGGGCCGTTTGGGCCCAAGAACCCTTTGCTATGCATTGGTGATGTGAGGCAAGGGGAGAAATATATTGTATTTTTAAATTCCACATTAGAAGTCTCTGGACTAGCGGAAAGAGCTAGCAATAGAACTATTAAAGAAGCCAAAGGAATTTTATGTAAAAGATGTGGTAAGTACTTGATATGTAATCCTGTGGCTTTTTTCAGGGTGGAGTGTGTTTGTCCTTAGAGCCTATTTCAGCAAAGGAATTAATTCCTTCCTGAATTGGGTCTTGACGGAGAACGGGAGACAAAAATGTCGACTCACCTGTATAAAGGGGGTGTTCTAAATATTTCAGGTAGTATGTCACCACAGGCATGTGATGTCTCCAGGTAAACAAAAGATATCTAAGGCTAGAGACAATACAATACTTCCGACTGCGCATTTTTTAAAAAGTACTTAAGTTCCAAAATAATTGGGAGAGTAAATTTTGTCATTCAGTGATTCATTATTTCACCTGTGTAAGTGATATGCATGGCAGAACTTTCAGAATTAAAATTCCACAAGCATACCAACATGCTTTAGGGAGGAATTCTTTTTCTTCGTTTTTTATGATGAGCAATTTGAATGACATTTTCAAACACTATGATTTATTGGCCTCTATTTATATACAAAAATGAAATTTTAAATTATTAATGAAGGAATTTGCATATTTTATGAAAGAAGCAGATGTTTTTTGCAAATATTTTACAATAATTGCATATGTGTTGTCTTGCTAAGCTGAGGTATAATCAATTCTATTCAAAGCTTCCCTGTGTTAGATAATGACTGCTTTCTGCGTTTCTACATAGGAAACCAAGTTTGGATAAGATGGCAGTGTGAGTGAGAAAATGTTAAAGATAAGACATAGAGTTTATCACTGTTGGTTACTCAGTTTCTGGTTGCAGTGCAGTGATCAGAAACTCATGCATACCCAATAAGAGAAAGGTTATCATGCCCACTGCTGAAATGCCACATGACTTTTGATAGTGGGTAGGTTAAAGGTCTGACTAGTTTTAGTACACCAAAGTACTGGAGAAAATGGACAAAATGTACCTGTATTATCTTCACAACATCATGGAAAAAATTTTAGAATAGTTATGCATGCATTACAACATTAAGCAACTAATTTTCTGCTTTAATTTCAAGTTCAGTGTCTTATTTAATTATTGTGCAATAGTACAGAATCAATTTACAATGTAATGACCTATGTCTCAGGTGTGCTATTGGGAATATGAAATTTATTAGATGAATTCCTTACATTTGGATATCATTAAAAATATATTTTTATTAACTTAAGTTGGGAATCCACAAAAAGAGAAAGAAAGAAACATCCAAGCATTGCTTAAGCTTATATATCAATCCCAAGCAAAATAATTGACATTGAAGGACAATTTACATCATTATAAAAGTACACCAGAAACCTACATTACACATACATTACTATTGCTTATATCACAATATCATATGACCAAAATGCTTCTAAGGACTTAGTTCCCAAATTTAAAAACAGTGTATGCTTTTACCAGATTAAAAGGTTTATAAAAGTCAGTATTCAAAGTATACCTTGAGGTTTACTTATACTTTGGAAGCAATCCAGGCACTGCTACTGCTGCCTCTGTGTATGTTTTGACTACTGTAATTTGAATATGTTCTCTTAAGTGGGACTGGATTTGGTGATGAGTTGATGACGTGAGAAGAGTTTATTGTCCATGATCAATTTCACTCAAAGGTGATCTTTGCTCTTACTTCTCTGACAGATTTGTTTATTTTAGCCTGGGTAAAATGGTTAATAGAAAGTGCAGTTTGTCGGTGGGTTCTAAGCGAAGAAGCAGCAGCTTCTCCATCTGTATGCTGTGTGCTCTGGACCACTAGGCAGGCTGATGGTGATGCATTGATTTTTCCCATGCAGACACATTATGTCCTTTAGAAATATCCATCTTTGCACGGAGAAGCAATTATTTTTCTTCAATTGGATTTTTGAGGAAAGGGTTTTAGTTTTGATGCTCTTCAGGCTCAGTTTGAGCTTTTGAAATTTCCCATTTCTATGGAGAAATGAGATGGTGGTGAGAGATAAAAAAAGATGTCTGGCTTTTAATGCAGTTTGAATCCCACTGGGAATTTTCCTAGTGTGGTCTCAGGACGTGCATTAGACGATCACACAGAGTAGATAATCATCATGCAAGCGGGGAGACCATAGCCTGGACTAGACACAAAAACACTGAGAAAATCTACTCAGTAGAGAGAAAAAATGATAAACTGGCCCACACAGCACATATATTGCAGATAAAAATTGTCAGTCAAGTGTAGTTATTTCCATTAGAGTACCGCCACCAAAACAGAGCAGTTAAGTTCATCTGGGGCCTTCAGATTTAATGTCCTGAGCACTTTGGTTTAATGAATCATGTTATTTAACCTGAAGCCTCTCAAATGGTTCGATAAGCCTCAGACTATTTAGGATTAAGCACAGACACCTTGTTCCCTGTATTAGAAAGTGTTTTAGCCACAGGAATTGTCTTGCTCCCCCTTTGCTTGTGTATCAGATTTATTGAGAAAACATTACACCTACGCTTACAGTTTAATCTCAGGCTGATATTGCTGTTTGCTTGAAGGTGGGCTCCATCAATACTACATAGAAGATAAAAGGGAAAGGTTTTACTGCAGCACCAGGTACCAAAAAAAAAAAAAAAAAAATTGGAATTTATAATGGGAACTGTATATTTTCCCATCTTTTCCCTGCCACAGACTGCTTCCTATTAAGCGGTTTGATAAGGCTTAAAGATAAACCCCCAGTTCTTGAGATAGTGTACATTTCTCACCTTGAGATAGTAGTCACAGCTTGATAACCCCTCCCACCTTTACATACTTAATCAGTTATGACATATACGCTGGAATTTGATTCTTGAAAAGGTGATGTTTATACAAATGACAAATTGACATGTGGATGAATTAATGACTTCCGATGTTGTTTTGTGATTTTTCGTGATACCTTGAAGGGACCAGGCTAGCACCTCTATCTTGGATTGCAGATAGTAGTTGTGGCAGAGAGGAGTGATTGTGGCTAGGGGCAACACCCTACTTTTTATTCAAAACCTCTTAACATACGTGATGTTACAACAATAAAAGGTGAATGGGGCCCACAATTTCATATTGTGTGTCATCCCACGCTCAGATAAGCAGTCTGTCCGGTTGCCTTTTATCAAAGCAATGTAGGTTAGGGCACTGTTCCGGATATGTAGGTATCCCCTTTTATTGAAAAACTAGAGATAAGGATATTTTGCAGTAAGTAAGAGTAGTGTACCCAGTTTAGAGGCAAAGCAAAAAGCACTTCAGAAGACATGAAACAAGTTGTGAGTGTGTGTGGTAAACTCCAGAAAGATATATTTTAACACCTGTAGAAAAAAAAAAGCACTGCACACAGGTCAAACCCAAGATGGCAAAGTTTTGTGAAGAATGAAATTGTGTGTGTGGCAAATGTAACTAATTCTTTCCCCCAAATGAATGAATGTGAATAATGTTGGAAGCTGTTTGTCATCTCTCTTTCATATTGTTCTCTCAGTTCAGACTGATTTATTGATCGACAAAGCCTATGTCATTGGAACATAACATATACTTCTTCAAACAAGCCATTTGTTTTGGCACTGTTCTCACACATTTGGCTTACCATCAGTAACTGATTATAGGAAAGCATGTTGCTAATTTTTTCGATGGAAAAACCTGAGCCCCGGGAACAGAGCCCGGTTGTTACTGAATGTGAGAAAATATTATCACAGACATAAGTGAAGTGAAGGGCTCTGCTCTTGTGTGATGACCTTAATTAGTTCTGGGTTTGTTTATTTAAGCCCTTTGTTTTATTAATTAATTTAGTGGAAAACTATAAAGGCCATATGTTTTTTCTGTGCATGCGGTATGTTTTAATCGGAGCTGTGAAGGAGTGGGATTGTAACATCAGTGCAAACACCCCAGGTGATGTTTGTTTTACAAATGGAAAAGAAATCACGGTTGTTCGTTTCCTAGTATGGGTGTAGTGTGAGTCAACTGTACGCATGCAGCCAGTCATTGGCTGGCGGGTTCAACAATTACTTGTATGATTTTTCTTTGAAATTTTCAATCATTGATCATGTTAACTGCTTTTTGCTGGATGCTTAATTCATTGGACTTTTTGATGTTTGAGCAGAACAATAACTTGCATGATTTTCTTTGAAATATTTGATCATGTCTAATGTTTTTTTGTTGAATGCTGAAAGAATTGGTTTTTCCATGATGAAATCTATGCCTCTGGTAACTGGTATGATACAGGAGAAGAGCAAAGGAGGTTGCATAGTTTCATTATGAAGCAGTCATGAGTTGGAAGTGTGTTGCCAGTATCGATAAGTTGCCCAAAATTGAATCCAGTACTCCTGATCACTTTTGTCAGTAAATATTTACATAACTCATCAACCTTTTTTTTTTTTTTAATCCTTCGCTTCCCTCTAATTTTTCATCGGTTTTGCCAATTTTCCGCCGTGGTCATGGCATTGTAAAACGGGGCTCAGGTGAGAGAGATGTAGTATTACCACTCCAGTTCCTGCCCTCTGATTAGGCACCTGCCTGGATTAGACACAGTACACAGCATGCAGGTGATGATGGAATAGCTAAATTGAGTGAGATGCCTCCCCCCTATCTCACATGCTGTAAGAGATCTCAACTTGGTGATCAGTTTGACATAGTTACATCAGCTTCATACCTGCTGACTTCAGTGGAAGAGTAATGACAGGCAAGAATGTTGATTATAGTGCTGTAACTGTCCCTTATGAGAAGACCCACACATGAACCCACAGCTTAACTGTAATGGAGAGTGAGAGATGGGTAAAGGAGATTCTTGAGTTGTCTGAGAAGAATTATTTTTTCACCCATTATCCCAAGTGACAAACTACCCATTAAGAGCGAAGTGTGGCATAATTCAAACTGAATAATGAATCTTCCTGGGGCATCTTATTGGTAATTAAGTGGTAGATTCTTACCAGATTCCATGCAGTGAGTTAGGTCTTTCTGTGTATTCTAGTAAATCATTTTACTCCACTATTTTCCTGTAGGGTATGCTTGGCCAGGGCAGGCGGGCAGTAGGTTATAGATCTTTTATTTGCCTGGCAAGGCCGATTCTTAGCTAGGCTCAGGCTGGCTAGGGTGTAGGGTATTTATAAAGAAAACAGTCTGTTGTGAAACAAAACACTGGCCAGTAAAATGTGTGTATTCTGACCTGACTGGACCAGGAAAGGTCCTAATTACCTTCTTTCATTATTCTCAGGGTGGGTGATTTACCCCGAAAACAAAGATTTCATAGAAATATGGGCAAACACATTAAGGCCGTCTGTGTTAAGTCTAGTGGAGAGATGAATTTGATACATGTTGATTTTGAATCTAAATATATCTCAGGGGAGATTAATCTCTGCTGTTACTAATTGAGGAAATGATGAGGTGGGTGTGGGAGGGGAGATGGCCCTTATGTTGCACTTTAACTTAAATAAAATGTGTTAATAGTTGATCTTAATGGATTTGTTTAAGTAAGATGCATTGTATCACAAAAAAAGAAAAAATTATGAACACAGAGAATTCATAGAGCTATTTGTATATATTGCTGGGTGAAAGTTTTTCAATTAGAAAAGGAAGTGTATCTTGGAAAACTGCGAACAAGGTTGAGCCCATGTGACTGTGCCATATTACTGACCCATGCAATGAACGTACTCTTTTTGTGTTTGCTGACTTTGTGGATTTAATATTAAAGCAAAGAAAGAAGTGTGGAATGGGGCTTTTACCACACCCAGCACCATCTCAAAGCATGTATGGAATTTGCTTGCTCTTGGGGTTTATAGCTTGAGGACAAGTTTAATTAACATATGGCATATAAAAATATGGATATTAAGTCAATATTAGGTGATTAGCTTAGCATAATACAGAGTTTTTTTAACTGTTTTATTTCAAAATTTTGTCTGTTTTCCTGTCAGACCCCTTAGAGGTGACAAATGTGGGGCATTCATTCATGCGCTGCCTCTTGCATTTTTGCACTCAAACAGCCATTTGCCATAACAATAGTGTTTGTACAGTTTATAATACAAATAATGCAGAGTTATCTGATATGTTAAGTAAATTCAACCAAACGTTTTTCATTCACCCTGAACTGATAAACAGGGTCAAGAGACTGAAAAACTAATTTGGAACTTGTATACCTTCTTAATTTGAAGTTTTGTAAAAGCAATGTCTGAATGAATTATTTTGAAATGTTGTCTGTAGAAGCAAATGACTATGATATATTCATGATAAAAAAAGCAGATGACTGTGATAATTCAAGAATAAATGTTTTTAACTTTTTACAAATAGATATATATTCAATTTTTTATTTTTATCTTTTAGCCAAAATGCCTGTGATAAAAAAGATAAGGGATGTAAGAGCAGCAGAGGGAGACCGTGTTCAAATTCGTTGCCAAGTGAGAGGCAGACCATTGCCTGAAATAACATGGTACAAAGATGGAGAGGTCATACGTAATAAAAAAGGACTAAAAGTACAGAATAAACGGTAAGTTATATCAGTAAAGAAATGATATAAAACTTAAAATGCACTCAAATCAAGTAGAGGAATTGTAGCTGTGCATTTTGATAAAGTGCTTCGAGGAAAAAAATGTTTGGTTGACCAACAACACCTCAACACTTGTCTTCCACATTTTTCCAAGTCTTTCCTTGGCCACAGAATGACACACACATTGCACACACACATCCATACAGCTGCTTCTAACGCGCACCCCCATCTCACTCCTTAACTACATTGAAAACACTTTAAATGTAGTAAGCTAAACAAGAAATAACAAATCTTCAATCAGTTGCTTATGCTAAAATTGACTGTAATGGTTAAAAGTGCCTCGACTTCTGCCTTCAGGAAATCTTGCACTGTCAGGCATTACAGAGCGATGTAGTTAGCTCGGCATGGTAGCAGCTACGTGTGGAGCTTGCACCAACTTAATTAAAAATCATATCTTTTTTGGCTAGGTTTTATCCTGAAATCCCATGAGTTTCTTTACGTAGATACACAGTGGTGTGCTTTATAGGCATGAATTTTGATTCCTGCTTATCCCCTTCTTTGAGATTGGCCTGTAAGTGATCTACGGTATAAGTAATTCAAGGAGATATAGCATCTGATATGCACTTTCGAGAACAAATTTTATGTGCCCTTTTGAAATTGTGGGAACTTTCCCTCAGTATCTTTTTTTATTTTTAGAGAAATCCACAGGTAACTCAGAATTGAGAGTCATGAAAATGAGTCATGCCTGCCACCTTTTATTTTAGTTCAGTTAAGCTCATCAGACTTTTACCTCATAGTTTATTGGAAACAGGTATCATTTGAATGAAACAGTTCAAATAACAACTTTTTAAAAATTATCCATTGACCAGTGCAAGTTATCTAGGTACATGCATCATAAGTTACTAGTAGGTAGTTGTTCAAAGAAAATGACCCTGGTGGTCATTTATTTTTGTTTTATTAAAACTTTGAGAAGTCAGGCATATAGTTAATAGGGGGCTATCCGGAGAAAATGTGACATTGCGGTCCCATTCAGACCCACCAGGCAAAGGGTGTGCAAGGAAATTTGAGGAAAAAATTGATTGGGGATGTAGAGAGCATTCTCTGAAATCCATAGCTTTTTTACTTCTTTGAATTTCATTTGTGATAGTGCTTGTTCAATTTACTGTTGATTGATGCTTGAGGCTTCAGTGTTGCTTGTTCCCCCAAAGCAGATTGATTGATTGATTGCTGGACTTCACCTTACTAACATGCCTTTCCCAATGTTTGCTTAAATGTATGCATGGTTTTTTGCTTTATTGCCCTGTTTTCAAACTTTCCAGTGATGGCCTTGTCACATTTCCTACACCTTATTACTATCATAAACCAGTGAACCCATCCCTTATGTATGTTCTCTAACAATTTCCGGGCCTCCATCCCACCCATTCTCTCCTTACTCCAAAGGAAAAAGGTCAAAAAGGAAGAGAAAGGCTGACGTGGAAGGCTTTGTTATTTCAAAGAATGCTACATATTTCATGATCTAATGTCCCTGTTTGACAGTAAAGGCAGAGCATGGAGCACCATTGTCCAAATTGGAAAAATAGGGATAAAGGAGCTGTCCGTTCCCATGGCCTGGTTCCCTTAAAAGCTTCCATACAAATAAGTGTACATGTCAGATCTATAGAATTATATGAGAAATGATACTGAAATATTGGTTTTATATTTGGCATTATTAGCATCTCTAGTAGAATTGATGCTTAAGCATGAAATCTCATGTATAGATAGAAACAGAAGATTTTCTGTTCTTTTACTACTCATTAGCTTTTAGTTGTCCCACTTTTCACACCCAACTAGAATTATTTATATTGCCTAAGTTTGTGTAACAACTAGCACTTCCTCTATCTATCATTTAGTTGATCATGTAGTTTTTGTTCCTATCTTCCAATCCCCTTTCCTTTGTAGGAATTTGACCTTGGTTTTGAAATCGAATGATACATCCAAGAACTCGGAAACTTCAGACTCTAGTTATGAGTTTGAATTTGAGGATGATGAAAAAGTTGATAGCATTGATAATGGTGGTGCTGCTGCCATAGAGTAAGTCCACATGTCTGTCTTGTCTTCACTGTTATTCTTTTTGGCATGCATTTTACTTATAATATTCACCATTTATTTGGCACAGAATGGTATATTTGATTTTCTCTTTCACAGACACTTTTCTTTGTATTACATGCATGCATTTTTACTTTCTGTTATTATTTTTCATTTCTCGTCTTTTTAGTTGATATTTTACTTTGTACAATAAATTATTCCCATGGCATGTGTAATACCTTACAACTAACTATCACAATACAGAAAAGGAGAGGGATTTGCAATGTGTTTTAGCAGGCTTTTCAGGTAACCCAAGGGAAAGCAAAAAGACTACTTGCTGGGCTTTGGTTTCTTGTTTTGTAACATTTTACTTTTACCAATCATATCTGTCTTTTTAAATTCCTTTTTTATGTTATCTTCACAGCAAAACAAAAGTAAAATTCACTCAGATACTGAGGATACGAAGCTTTAAAGGCGCTTATTCTGGAGTCTATACTTGTGAAGCCAAGAGCATAGTGGGGACAAGGACGAGGAGTTTCAACATATCAGCAGAGCCTTCCTCAATCCGGGGTAATCCATCAGGCTCCCCTTCAGCACTGCTTCCAGGTGAGAGCACATACACATAAGTACAGTTATTATAATTCAGTAGATGCTTTCCATTCCTGAATTTCCAGTAAACATCATTGCTGATACAGATTTGGGGTTTAAGTTTCTCCAGAATTCTTCTGAAGTGAGTCCAAGATTGATCCTTAATATGCCAGGAGGCATATTTTGCCCACTGGCCACCTGTTTTTCAGGTATCTTATGCTGACGCTTAGGTCCATATTGGTCAAACTGGTCTTGCATGAAATCCTCCTCCACTGACCACCCATTATACCTTTACAGTTGTTGCTCAATGATCATGTACTTCATTGTAGCATGTCCTGGAAGAAGAGTGAAATAAGAAACTCCTCCTTATGATTATGTTACAATTTCCTTAGGGTGAAGCATGTTTAATTTTTTTTTTTTTAAGTTCTCATCGGTGTGGGTGATGATTTTGATTGGTTATTATAAGTAAGGCTTTGTGTCTAAATTTATGAGAATTTTATAAGAAACATATCATAATTCTACTAGTTCTTTATTAGATAGCATACTTGTTTTCACATCTTCCATGGAATGCAATTTTTTCATGGTGAAAAACAAAAATCACTGCTGGCATTTCAGTAATTGGCATTCCAACCATAAGAATAACCAATTAAAATAATATCAGTCAGCATTGTGGATAAGATTACGACAAGAGCAGCCGTCACACTCGTAAAAGATGCCTCCAGTGGAAACAAAAAAAAAAGTTTTATAAAACAAATACAATTGTTGGGGCATAACAAATAAAAAAACAGTCTGCTCATGCAGCAGTAATTACAAGTAATTTTCCAGCATGTTGCGTTTGTAGGAATGTGACCAATTGGTTCGATTCCTTTTTGCTGCAGCGGGACTTTGCAGGTTTGTCCTAGACAACCTTGGCTCTGCCCTGGGCAACCCAGCAGTGCATGACTGGCCGACTGAAATCAGCATATTCAGTGTGAACAGGACTGTACTGTTGAACAGGATGCTGACTGTAAAACAGTGGTCGGAAGAACTCAATTTCCTCAGGGGGTTGCGAATTATCACTTGATTCCCTTAGAACATGCAATATTTTATAGTGAAAGAATAGACCAGAATAGAAAGCAGACTGTCAGGCAATTTCATAGCTCATTAAAGAAGGCTGGACCCTTTAGGCAGAGTATCGTGTTCTTGAAGGGTTGCAGGATAGGTATGCTATTGAAAGATGATGCTAAGTCAACCAGAGCGTTGCAGCTTGCTTGCCCTGCTGTTCCTCATGTCTTGACAGAGATAGATTGCCAGATAAAGTTTCTCTTTCTTAAATGTTAAATGCTTTATAATTAGGTGATAATCAGCAGTGAACACGCAAAGAAATGGAATCATTTTTACATTTGAAAATATACTCACATTTTGAATACCCAATTTCCTGTGGGTAAGTGGGCCTTGGAAAAGATTTACAGATGAATTAAAGATTTTTATGAAACCAAGACGAATACAATTTGTGATAAGAGGGAGACTTGACTAGGAGGTTATTTCTAAATTCTGTCTTTGAAATAAGTCCAAAAGTAAGAAAATAACTGCACAGACTACAGGCAGCTCGTAGTAAAATCTTCAGTCTAGTTGTAACTGGTGATGTTGACTATGTTTGACATATTCTCATCCTCCCAGCCTTTGAGCAGCTCGCTGGTGACCTGTGTGGTTTCTGAAGGGTCACCAGGTACATGTTATTTTTGCACTTGACATCTCTTACAAAGGTTTAATCCAATTTTTTCATTGACAAAATGAAGGATTTTTTGCCCAAAAAATTAATTTATTGAAATATTGTTAATATTATTTTAAAAACTTACTATTGTTATTATTGATTCATTTTCATGAAAATAAATTTTATTTTTGGCAGTCGTGATTTCTGAAGAATGTATCATGATCATAATTTTTAAGTTGAAAGAAAGTTGTGTATAATGTGTAAGGTGTCGTGTTACATGTCCAGTGACCTGGACCACAGCAGCAGACTGGTTTAGACATAGCCAGTGGGCAGAGCCCTGACCTGTCTCTACACTGACATGATAATAACACCTCCGCCTTGATCTTGTCTTTGATGTCACCTAGCCTGCAACATGATGATGTAGGAACATGGCTATCGGAGTGATGATTATGCTGCTTGAATAAACTGGGGAGAATACAGCAGAAAGGACTTAGGAGTTGATTAAAGGGGCATACTTTTCTTTCTTTCTTGTTGTTATTATTTGCCACTTTGATGTTGATAATTGGGGTGTTGGTGTCATGTTGTCTTCACATTTTGTTTGTGTCTTATAAAGATTTTAAAAATGTGTCCTTTCTCTTGTTTTCTTGTTAGATAAAATCAAAATCTCCAGATTAACACCATAGCAGGGTCTCCTCCTAGGAGGAGTACATACATACCTGAAGTGCATGATTTTTTACTACAGTGATTTTCAGTTGATGACTTCAGTGCATCTCACTTAAGTTGGCTGTTAAGAAGAAAATGCTTTTCAGTTTTTCTTTATTTCATGATGCAGTGCTAGATTGTTATTGACTTTATATGCAAATAAGACCTGGGAAAATATTTATAAATTGCATTTCTGTATTTGGTAGAAAATGTGTATCCAAGTAGAACCAAATTATGAATCTGATTTAGCCTTGATCATAATGTAATGGCTACTGATGGTAATCCATTATAATTTCAGTGTCTTTGGGTTTCAGTAAGTTTTTT